CCCCTTCATCCCATTGGCCTCCCCGTTGGAGAGGGGGAGGTTCAGCGAACAAGCTCTAGTCCTCCTTTGCTGCTCCCTCCCCGTGGGACCAGTCCCGCACTGTTTTGTTTTTAATTCTTTCTTTTTTCCTTTTCTCCTACCAGATTTTTGGTGTCTTTGTCTTTCGAAGAGGGCGATGTTCTGTCAGAGTTCAGCAGTTGCTCTGGTTGGCTGAGTGAGTCCGTAGATGTGAGTTTTTGTGTATTTGTGGGAGAGGGTGAGCTACAAGTGTCCTTCTACTCTGCCATATTGGTTCTCTCCTCTAATTGTAGTTTTGATTTGCATTTCTCTGATAATTAGTGATATTGAGCATTTTTTTCTTGTGCCTATTGGCCATTTGTATGTTCTCACTGGAGAAATGCTTGTTTAGGTCTCCTGAACTATGGCTAAGTTTCTTCATGTTTAATTAACTGGTGAAGCACTTACTGCCTTATTTTCATTAATTCTTAGTATCTTTCCACTAGAATATTCCCCTCTTCCATAGTATGCCAGAACCTGGAGGCTTACTCAGTCTGGTAGACATACAGTCCAACAAGGATTCAGACTGGCTTTGCCATTCAGGTGAGTTTAGAACAGGGGTCTGATAAATCTGTTACTGTCATTGCTTTTTATGCAACTTGGGGTCACAGAGTTGTACACTGTAGCGCATACACAGACAGATGAGTGGAAATGAACATCCAGCCCATGCTTACTCTAGGACCACTAAGCTGTGCACCCAAGGAAGGGGATGCCTTCTTCTTCGTTTTAAAATTTGCATAAAGGCACTGTATAGGTAGCTCTGACCCTGGAGGTCACCACTGGAAACTGGTCTTACTCAGAAGAACAGACCTGCTGGTACAGTTGATCCCATTTGCTGTGAAGTTCCCACGTGCACTGAGGGAAGACGATCTCCTCACAGGAGCACTAGGTCAGGACTCTTTTGGAACCACCACCTCAGGGACCCAGCACCTCCAACACTTGCCTTCCTCTCTTTCTAGGGTCTACTTGGGTCACCAACTTTTCCTTTTCAACCCTTTTTCTGAACTGTGGGGGTTATGGACTGAATGTGTGTCTCCCCAAATCTGTGTAGTTATGTTTGGAGATGGGGCCTTTGGGTGCTAATCAGGTCATAAGGATGGAGCTCTTATGAATGGAGTTAGTACCCTTAGGAGGCCAGAAAGCTAGCTCACTCTCTTCCTCCATGTGAGGATACAGAAAGAAGGGGGGCCTTACCAAGAACCCAAACATGCTGGCACCCAGTTCTCAAACTTTCAGCCTCTGGAACTGGGAGAAATAAATGTCTGTCATTTGAGCCACACAGTCTATGGTAATTGTTACAGCAACCCGAGCTGACTAAGACAATGGGGCTCCTTATTTATAAGGGTGCCTTCTGCAGGGTTCACAGTTTATTTCCTTTTCCAGCCAATTCTAGTCTAGCTGGCAATTCCTAACTTCTGGTAGGGGCCAGGGTTGGAGGGTCCTGGCTACATTACTTAGGTGGTTAGAATGTTTAGAGGCATCTTCAGAGCCAGGCAGGCAGAACTGAGTATTCATTCTTGGTTACCCAATCAGCTGTGTGCCCCTGAGCAGAATTCTAAACCAGAGCCTCAGTTTTCTCTTCTGTCCAATGGCAATAATGAATCACAGAGAGTTGTGGCTGCATTAGATGACTATATACAGTCCCAGGCATTATATTATGACCTTTAAAAACCCGTCACTATAATTGTTACCACTATTGCCCAGAACGGCCTCAGCCGAGAGCAGGAAAAGGGCCTCAGTCTTCTGGTCCTTTCTCTTCTCTGCATCCAGTGAGGAAGGGCTCTGGATGCCCTGGGATTTTCATCTCAGGATTTAAATGGTCACTGGAAGCTCTGGCGCTGAAAACGCCTGATCACTCCACAGTGTCTCGGAATCCGTGACTAACTGGCCCCTTCACATGAGCTGGTTCCTAAAGAAGCGATGTGGAGGGAGCCTTTCTCCCAGAAGGCAGAACAAAACCTGCACAAAGGACTTGCGGCGGTGGCAGCGAGTGATGTGTCCTCCCTGGAGTGTGCGTCCTCCCTGCACGCTTTGTGCTCTGGTCCTGGTCCTTTTCTTGGCTGGGAGCAGGCCCCACTACGAGGACCCGATGGTGGGTGGTCAGCTTTGTGACAGGGACACCCGAGTCCTGGGTGCAGAGTGCTGCTGAGAACCTGATCTCTCAATCCATTCTGCCCAGAACAACAGGATGCCATGGCATGGCAGGGGACCAAGTGGCCCAGAGAAACCCGGACACACTTGAACAGTAGCCCAGAACTCGGACAGAATCTGAATCTCCTTGGCACAGGCCTGGGTCATGGGTGGCTGCCAGCGCAGCCGTTCTTGTCCACACAGCGGCATGAGGAAGCAGGGAGCTGCTACATGATTTTAATTACCAGCTTCTCTCTGAGCCGGGCTGCTGTTCAGCTGGGAGTGGATGTTGGGGGGACTTACCTTTGCTCCTGTGTGTCACCGCACCCCCACTGACCAGAGCAAGTTGGAAAACAGTGGAGAAGGGAAAACAATCACAGTTCCAACAACAGCGACCTGGAGTTGCACTGGGCAGGCACCCAGGTTGACCTGGGCTGAATTGTATTGCCGCCTTTCCTAGTGATGCCATCGGTAGTCACAGAACCCTCTAAGCGTTGGTTTTCTCTCTGGAGAGTGCGAACAAAAACATTGCCTGCTGTTCAGGGTTGGTCTGATCATTAGGAATCTTGTGTTTAGCTACTGGAAAAGGGCCAGGCACACAGCAAGCTCCCAGGCAATGGGAGATATCCTTATTTCAACACTGTTACTTACAAACACTGAATAGGTCAGTCACTTGATCATTTTTGAATATCATCTCTAAAATGAGGACTCTGGTGTCTCCACATGGTGATTGTTGAGTTGAGAGAGAATGTAAACAGCTTTCAGCAGAGTATCTGCTGCCTTCAAGACATTAGTAAATGTTAGTGAAATCTGAAAATCACATAGTCAGAGAACAATCCCCTCCTTAGCTGTGAATTTATTTCCCTTTAATCTGGAGTTTGAGGAAGATCAAAGTCCTGTTGACTCTTTGAAGATTCTCCACTCTAAACTAATACTTGCAGCTGACTTTTAGGTCAGAGTGATATGATTTCTTCTGTGTGAGATTGTCATTTCCTTTAGGCTAAGGGAATAGTTTCAAACACAACTTCAAAGAGCAAGTCATGTACTTCCCTTGGAGAGCAGACTGGTCCTCAGTCCTGACTGATCTTCAGAACACCTGGTGTGAGGGGAGGGCTGGAAAAACAGCCTCAGCTCCACCAATACTAGCTGAAGTGGTTGCTGCAGCCAGGCCAGGGATGGAGCCCAGTTTGAGAACCACTTTTGTGTGCCATGTGCATCTTGTGAGGGTACTGGAGGACTGGCTGTTTATTCTATTACCTGCTTGCTCCCCAGCCTCTGTCAATGCCTTTTTTGTTTTTCTATTTTCCTTATTCACATAACTTACAAAATGTTCAACTATAGCATATGAAAGACAGGGCTAATCTTGACACTGGACAAAATTATAGGATCATGTTTGATGAGAGAAAGGAAGAGATTCTTTTCTAAATATTAAAAAAATTTAATTATTTATACTCTATGTGGCAGTGAGTGGAGAAAATTGGCCTTTTGGCCATAAAAGTGTTTGATGTTAAGGTTAAAAAGCCTGTTTTAAGAAGGAACCTGGTGGGGAGAGTATAGCTCAGTGGTAGAGTGCATGCTTAGCATGCACGAGGTCCTGGGCTCAATCCCCAGTACCTCTGTTGAATGAATAAATAAACCTAATTATCTACCCCCCACCAAAAAAAAAAAAAAGGGAAAAAAGAGAAAATCTGAAAATGTGAATTACAGCCTTAGCCCTTCCAAAATGGGCAGGTTACTTAAACCTCCCTGAATCTCAGTATTTTCCTCTATGAAGTGAATGTTGTGGTGGCACTACTTGTCCCTCTTACTTCATTATGCTGTAGTGAGGAGTCAGGGAATTGAAGCATTGGCAGTATTTTATAAAATGCAATGTAACAACGTAAAGAATCACAAGTTCTGCATCTGCCTCTAACTTGCCTTCTGATCTCAGGCAAGTTAATTTTCATTTTAGTCCCTCAGTTTCCCCACATACAAAGTGGGACCAACAATGCCTAATGCTGACCTCGCTGGGAGGTCATGATGACAAAGGTGAGGGCGTTTGGGAAAGCACTTGCAAAAGCTGGAAAACTATTAAATTCCTGTAGTGTTATAGTCTCCACTTCATGAAGATAAAACAGAGATAGGGAGAGATGAAGTCCTACTGAACATTCAGGCCGGAGCCAGGGTTTTGGCCTGGCGTAGGCGGCTCAGCGTCTCTGCCTCCAGTAGGCATCCTCCATGCCCTGCTTAACTGCACTGACTTCTCTTTTCTCTCAGTTACTAATCTTCCTGAGGTATAGGCAGGCCCAGACTCATTCTTTGGATGAGGCCAGGAAGAATAGGGCCATTTATGTCTCTGCTCAGATGACTGGAAAATCCTTTTATCCTGCTTCACTGAAAAGCATCTCAAATCAAAACTTTTGGCATCCGACGGCCTAAAGAGCCACCTAGTGATGACACGTGCAAAGGACTCCATCTTTTGTCAGTAGCTTTATTGGCATAAGGATAATAGGAATGGATTTGTTTTCTTCCTCTCTTAAATTTGTGCCTACCCTGCAACCACCAGATGGAGACTGACGTAACTGTCCACCTTCTCTGCTTATAAACAGATGGCAGAGTGAAGCAGGATGAACGCTGGGAACCCCTTGCAGACCTGAACTGCAACAAAGCATGGCTTCCACTCTCAGCTCCCAGTTTGTAGTTAGATGTGTGCATGTGACTAAGTTTTAGGTGATGGATTGTGAATGAAAGTCATATGCTTCAGTTGTATGTTGGGCCCCTAGAACTTCCCGTGTGTGATCTCCATGCTTTTTCTCCTTTGTGCTTTGATGCAGATGGGCATGGCAATCTTGGAATTCTTGTGTTGAAGGTGGAGCCACGGAGGGAAGGAATCTTGAGTCTCCAAGTCATCACTTAGAGGAGAGCTGCCAGCCAGTGAAGAAAATCTCTTTTGGACTTTATACAAGTAAGAAATAAACCTCTCTTATGCTTGAGTGGTAACTCAGCTTTGCATTTGTTTGTTACAGAAGTTATGGTGAACTTAACCAATACAGGTGTGTGTGTGTGTGCTGGTTGTGCTAATCAGATCAACCATGGGAATTCAAGACAGGTTTACTATGAAGCCAGTGAAACTCTATCTTTAGGGCTCTTCACTTGCACAAGACCCTTCCAAGGCCAAGGGTGTGTGTATCTGTGTGTGTGAATGTGTGTTCATATGGTTATATTTTGTGCAATTTGCAGAAGGTATTCTCAACTGCATGCAATTGGTAAGGATGGCTGTCTCCTACCTTTTCAACTTCCCCTCCATCACACTTTACTTTGTATTGGATGCTACTGGAGAGGCCATAGGAATTTTTTGGATCCATCTAATGGGAAGTTGTGTGGGATATATTTGGTTTGAGTTTAGTGAATATGTTTATGTGGTCTTTTCTCTCTTCCATGGAGAATTAAGTTATTGCTAGCTGTTTAGCATAGCAATGGTTTCCAGGACTCACTGTGCAGTTGTTAAAAGAAGGTGCCTGGTTAGAGGTTGTACTGCAACAGAATCTGTTCTAAAGTGCCTGGTCCAGGAGAAATATGAGTAGTAGAGAAGAAACAAAGTTTGATATGTATGGAGTCAGAAGATGGTCTGTAGAAATTTCTTCTAATCTATTGAATGTATAAAACTAGAGAATATTCAGCTCTCATTGATGCTTTGTTAAACTTGAATTCCTCTTTTGTCAGAAATATACTTGATAATTTTTAAAAAGCATATAAAATCCTAAACACTTTACATGTCTCCCCTTTTTGATGTAAATAGTTTAACTGATAAAACTTTAATATACATTTAAAGGGCATTTCTGAAAGATGTTTTGGAACACTTCAAAACAGTTGAATTACAGAAATTACAGACTTCTGAGTTTACCTTACTTTGACAACTTTAAATTTAGTTATTTTCAGGGAACTGAGAGAAAATACAGATAAAAGTAACAGAATATCAAATATGAAAGCAATAAATAAGATGAGGAAAATAATAAAAAATGTTTCTGACTATAAGAAGCTATTTGAAACAAATATTTTTTTTCAGATCTTTCCCAAAATAGTAGTTCACTAGAAGAAAGAAATTGCAAATAGAAGTAACTAATAGTCTCTTGGATTATTTGGTAATCCATTTGCTAAAGAGTAGTGAATTATATGAACATATCAGAAAAGATTTAAATTTCTTGATAATTTGACACAATATTCTGACATTGAAAAAATGATATAAAGCTCAAAATCTCCACGACAGCAAGAATAGTGACAGAAAACTGGTTAATGAACGTGATAATTCAAGGATGATTTAAGACTAGTCACTGCACACAGAAAACTTATGAAATACTTTGAAATCTTAAAGTTCACACATGAAAGAAAATAGATGTTTTCCCAAATTTTGACAGCAATTCTAAAATTTCATGTGACACTATCAATAACAATTTGTGAAGGTGAAAAATACTTTCCTAAAATATAGGGAAAAAAATCAATCACTCATGCTAGAGGAAAGATTAAATTGTCTATTTTCTCCATAGAAAATAATATTGCAATATCATTGCCATATGAAGGTGCAATTAACAAAAACACAGCCAAAATGTAGGACAAAAGCATTTTAAGAGCAGTGAAGAAAAATACTAATTTACCTTTTAGAATTTTGTTATGTTTGTGGCATTTGATAGCTTTTATAAATCTGTTATTTGGTGTGATTTTTAAAAATTTGAAATAAATTCTTGTATGGTGATTAATTTTGTGATTGTAAGTTTGGATTCTTTGTCTTGAGAGGGTCCTAAATTTATATAAGCTGTTCTCCACAAGATCCCAACTTATGCTTGGGCCTGGAACCTGTTGGTACCTTCCTTGAGTGAGGCTCTTGGGAGACTGACTTCAGCCTGTGATCTCAATGTCCTGACCAGTGGGAGGCGCTGGTAGGAGAAAACCACGTGGGTCTTTGATTCTGGCAGCAGCTGTGTTCCTCTTTGGCTATACACTAGTTTTTTATTGCTGCTGTAACAAATCACCACATTTAGTGACAAAACAACACCCGTTTATCGGCGCACAGCTCTGGAGCTCAGAAGTATGGGCAGGCTTAACTGGGTTCTCTGTTCAGGGTCTCCTAAGCCTGAAATCAAAGTGTCAGCTGGGTTGGGTTGTTATCTGGTGGCTCTGGGTAGAGGCTGGGATGTCTACTTCCAAGCTCATTGAGGCTGGCAGATTCTAGTTCCCACTGTTATAGGACTGAGGTCCCATTTCCTGGCTGGCTGTCAGCCCAGCTCCCCTCTGCCCTCTACAAGCTGTCCGCATTCCTTTACATGTAGCTCCTCTGTTTTCAAGCTTTCAGTGACTTTGATGGCTAGCTTGTCAAGTCCTCACATTTTGAGTCTTTCTCCTTCTTCTTTTACTAGCTAGAGAAACTTCTCTGCTTTTAAATGCTTATGTAATTAGATTAAGCCTATCTGGACAATTTCCCTTAATTTAAGGCCACTGGATATTTTGATAGGATATTTGGATATTTTGATAATTTTAATCTACATTAAATATGTAGATTGCTTTGGATAGTCTGACCATTTTAACAATATTAATTCTTGCAATTCATGAACACCAGTTATCTTTTATTTCTTTGTATAGTCTTCAATTTATTTCATCAGTGTTTTGTAGTTTTCAGAGTATAAGTCTTAAACCTCCTTGGTTAAGTTTATTCCTAGGTATTTTATTCTTTCTGATGCAGTTTTAAGTGGGATTGTTTTCTTGCTTTCTCTTTCTGATTGTTCATTATTAGTATGTAGAAAAGCAACTGATTTCTATATATTAATCTTGTATCCTGAAAGTTTACTGAACTCATTTATTAGTTCTAGTAATTTTTTTGGTGGAGACATTAGGGTTTCCTGTATATAGTATCATGTTATCTGAAAATAGTGACACTTTCACTAATTCCTTTCCAATTTGGATGCTTTTTATTTCTTTTTATTGTCTGATTGCTGTGGTTAGGACTTCTTTTATTAAATACTATGTTACTATGTTAAATAGAAGTGGCAAGAGTGGATGCCCTTGTCTTGTTCCTGATTTTAGAGGAAAAGCTTTCAGCTTTTTACCATTGAATATGATGTTAGTTAGTTGTGGGTTTGTTGTATTATAAATGGCCTTTATTATATTGAGATATGTTCCCTCTATCCTACTTTGATAAGATTTTTTTTATCATGAATGAATGTTGAATTTTGTCAAATGATTTTTCTGCATCTATTGAGATAATCATGTGATTTTTATCCTTTGTTTTATTAATGTGGTGTATCATATTGATTGATTTGCAAATGTTGAACCATCCTTGCATCCCTGGAATAAATCTTACTTGGTCATGGTGTATGATCCTTTTAATATATCATTGAATTTGGTTTACTAACTAATCAGTGTTTGTTGAGGAGTTTTACATCTGTACTCATCAAAGATATTGGATTGTAATTTTCCTGTTTTGTAGTCTTTGATCTTGGTATCAGGTTAATGGTGGCCTCAGAGAATGATTTTAGAAGTGTTACCTCCTCTTTCAATTTTGTAGAATGGTTTTAGAAGGATAGGTATTAGCTCTTCTTTGTCTGATTGGTAGAATTCTCCTGTGAAGCTTCCTGGTCCTGGACTTCAGTTTGCTGGGAGTCTTCTTATTACTAATTCAATTTCACTTCTAGTGATTGGTCTGTTCAGATTGTCCATTTCTTCCTGATTCACACTTGGAAGAGTATATGTTTCCAGAAATTTATCTATTTCTTCTAGGTTGTCCAGTCTCTTGGCATGTAACTGTTTATTGTATTCTCTTACGATTTTTTATATCTCTGTTATTAGTTTTAATTTCTCCTCTTTCATTTCTAATTTTGTTTATTTAGGTCCTCTCTCTGTTTTTCTTAATGAGCCTGGCCATATGCTTATTAATTTTGTTTATCTTTTCAAAAAACCAGCTCTAGATTTCATTGATCTTTTCTGTTGCTTTTTGGGTCTTTTTTTATTTATTTCCTCTCTGATCTTTATGGTTTCCTTCCTTCTGCTGACTTGGGGCTTTGTTTGTTTATTTTTCTAACTTCTGTAGATGGTAGGTTAGGTTATCTGGGTTTTCTCTTATTTCTTGAGGAGGAGGTAATTTGGATTATTTATTTATCTATCTATCTATCTATCTATCTATCTATCTATCTATCTATCTATCTATTTATTTATTTATTTATTTATTTATTTATTTATTTATTTATTTATTTATTTATTTTAATGGAGATACTGGGGATTGAACCCAGGACCTCATGCATGCCAAGAACACTCTACTCTGAGCTATACCCTCCCTCTTCTTGTTTCTTGAGATAGGCCTTTATTGCTATAAACTTCCCTCTTAGAACTACTTTTTTACTGTATTCCATAGATTTTGAAAAGTTGTGTTTTTATCTTCATTTGTCTTGAGGTACTTTGTGATTTCCTCTTTGATTTCTTCATCAACCCATTGGTTTTTTAGTAGCCATATTTATTATCCATGTGTTTGTGTTTTCCCCAATTTTCTTCCTGTAATTGATATCTAGTTTAACATCCTTGTGGTCATAACAAATGCTTTATATAACTTCTGTCCTCTTAAATTTGTTGAGATGTGTTTTGTGGCCTAGTATGTGATCTGTCCTGGAGAATGTTCCATGTGTACCTGAAAAGAATGTGTACTCTTCTGTTTTTGGATGGAGTGTCCTATAGGAATCTATTAAGTCCAACTGGTCTAATGTGTCAATTATAAGACCACTGTTTCCTCATTGATTCTCTGAATAATCTTTACACTGATGTAAGTGGGTTGTTAAAGTCCCCTTCTATTATTATATTATTATCAGTTTCTCTCTTTATGTCTGTTAATATTTCCTTTCTATAAGTAGGTACTCCTATATTAGGTGCATATATATTAACAGATGTTATATCTTCTTATATTAATACCTTCATCATTATATGATGCCCTTCTTTGTCTTTGTTACAGACTTTGTTTTAAAGCCTACTTTGTC